CTTGAGACTGTCTGCAGTTGTCGCTGACAGCTGCAGGATCGGGAATGGAGAAGTTCTCCCTTTTTATTGTTATTGCCGTCTTTCGCAGGGAAAAATGTGCGGTTCCACCCCAATGACAATGTAGTGAAATCAAACTTGATTCTTAGGTCGCAGAGAGTGTCGTGACCTATGATCACGTCTTGCGCCCCCAAGTTCTTGGTAACGTGTAAATCCCATTCGATAATTCTATCATCGTGGAACTCAGGAATCACGAGTGTGCCCTTACACTTCGTGCGGGGTTTCGATTCCTTCATAGAAGCAGTCCGTAATGTTTGGACGCCCCCATGATTCTTCATGAGTAAACTCTTAGCATGAGTTTGAGTAATTAAAGTTCCGGATGCTCCTGTTACCAGTAAGCAACAGAGGTGTAACGGGTTTTTGTTCCCCTTTCTCTCGTCTGTTAAATCTTACATAGACGATAGTTTCGAAGGTCTCGTTTGTCTTGCGACGTTGATGAGTTGATTGGCCATGGCCGAAGCTAACGATGCTGAACAGATCGTCAAGGTCTAGTTGAGTAGTTTTGCTGGGCAATTATCTAATTTGCGGTAGACTTCATTAGTTGCAACAAATCTTGTTTACTATTAAGTGAGATATCTTCATCACTAGGTATGAGAAATCGGAACAGATGGTTCCGTTAATCATCATCCTGGCCTAATCCTCAGACGGAGATCTCTCCGTTCGAATGATTGAAGTCGAATTCGGCAAGCGCCTTGTCAACAACAGCCATTTTCTTGTCCAACATGTTGATGGATCCAACAGAGGAGTCGTCTTCGTTGTCGGAGTTGTCAGACTTGCGCTTGGAAACATGGTTGCATTCGCTTTTCTTCTTGCGATCAGCCTTGACCGCAGCGTTGGAACCTTTCTTCATGAGGACAGAGAGTTTCTTCTTGGTGTAAGTCTTGGCGTCGTCGGACCTGCGTTTCCAAGTCTTTCTTGTTGTACCTGGCTTGTTATCGTTGTCAGACGAGGAATGAGACTTTGCCTTGAGCTTCTTCAAAGTCATGCAGTCAGCAGTGTTGTGAGTGGTGGACTCGTGGTAGTCGCTCTATTTTTCTTCGTTCTTGGAAGAGTGGTCCTTGTTGCGAGTAAACTTGTACTTCTTGCTGTGTTCTTCTTCGTAGGAGCTTGCTTGCCATCACCGCCCTTGTCAAAGTCCTCGGAGGATTCCATCCGTTCGCAGAATCCAATGGTTTCTCCGATGTGAGCTGAGAAAGGATCGAAGTCGTGTTCGTCCATCTTCTTCCACCACGAGCGTGGAATTCCATGACAAACAATGTCAATGACTCCGTCATGGTTCAACGTTTGGTTGGGTCCCAAAGGTGGTAGACGAGGAATTTCATCGGTGTTCATCCGACTGAGGTTGTTGACATAAGCCCGAGTAGACATTTCAGCAGGCTTACGCATCTTGCGGCGAATGAAGCGTTTCTGCTTTTCAAGAGCCTTGTAGGGACAGACCGCCTCGATACAGGCATTTATGCAAACGTAATGTCAGTGTAGTCCAAAGCAGGCTGAGCTGCTCCGTTCCAGGCAGCCTGGAAAAGTGCTTGGAAAGTGGCTTCGTCTTCACCACCGCGTATGTCGCGTGGAGGAATGCCGTTGACTGGAATCTGGCGCCAAGCATTCCAACGTACTTAACGGTGGCCTGCACAGCTAAATTCGTAACTGCTCTTGGCAGAGCTAGAAATCATCTCCTTGAGGAGGTAATGTTTGTCGGTAGGCGTAGCAATGGCGAGCCCAATGAAGACTTTCTCCATGCATCCAGCCCACTTGATGGTCTGACGTGGAGTCTCAGATCCATTGATGAAGAGCCTCATAACTTTCATTCTCTCAAACTCAAAACACTCGAAAGATCTTTACACTAGCTTTTAGCGTAGTGCACTTGTTCGGCTAGGTCGAATTTGTTTCCCCACATCTGCTTGACCCAGATCGTTAATATTGTCGTGGCTCTCTCCCGAACACCTTTGCCCATCAGTTTGTTTGCTGGGAGGGTATCCGAATTATCGACAACAGTAGCAAGTGTTTCAAAGTCGTCAAACATGTGTGTCTTGCCGAAAGGATTACACATCATGGCGAGGAGTTTGTCATCATTCTTCAAGCTTGAAACACAAGCACCATAGCGTCGCAACTCACTTGGGATTCGCTGGAATAGTTTCTGTGGAATCTTATGGAGTTTCGCGACTTTGATTGTCCTCAAACCAATCCTCTCAGTGGTGGAAGGAAGGTAATGTCCTTCCGCGTCATCTTTGGGTTCATCAAACTGGGGAGAGCCATCAAACTTGGTGGGGTACCAACTTGCAGTGCCATTCCACTTTTCAGTGTCATTGGTAGCTTTGCTTCGGCGAGTCTCTGGCACCCAAACCACCTTGGAGTAACAATAAGAAGCAAACACACGGTATGTCCCATAGGCAGTATAGGAATTGGCACCATAGTGGTCCGACTGGACAAAGCAAACAAGCTTCAACATGGGGAATTCCACCGCAAGGGTTTGTGCCATGACATGGTACTTAGAATCCTCCACCTCCGGACATGTATCGTCAACAATGCAATAGTGGTGAAGGTTCCACCGAGCTTGGATAAACGAAGCGTAGAACAAAGCTTCTCCTCCGGCCCTTGTATGGTTGGACATGCAAAAGGCCCTGGGTATCCGGCCAGCAGCAGAGAGTGTGTCCGTGAACTTCTTCCATCTCCCCTTCGATTTCTTGTTGGCCAACCACTTGGCGGTTTCCTCGGCTTGTTTTCGAATAGCCTGACAAGCATCAAACTCGTCAACCACTACCTTGTCCTTGTAGCGTTTCCTTTGACCGGTGGCATGCGAAAAAGCCAACTGAATCTCATGCATGGCACAGTAGGCATTTTCTCCACTCAGGTTGCGGCCCACCAATAGCGCCGTGTTGGTAGTGTCATTCATGGCCTTGTAGATCATTCGGTCCTCAATACCAAAAGCTTTGAGAATATCCATGATCTGATTCGTGGTGGGCTCTCCCTTCTTGTCTTTAGATTCCGCCAGTGCAACGGGAATTCTTAGATAGACACCCCTTTTGGGGTTGTAAAAGAAGATCGTCACTCCAAGTATTTCCTTCTTGTTAGAGTCCCAAACGTCATGAGCGACAGTAAGGAAAGACTTATGACAACCAAAGGTTTTCATATAGTACTGGTCCGTCTCTCCTAGATGCATTCCAACCGCAGCCATGAAAGTTTGGTAATCCTTGGCTCTGTAGTTTGTATGGGCCATGCGTCCCATCAAGCCATTGTTGGGACATTTCAGAAGAGCCGCTCCATTCTGCATGGCATAGATCATCATGTCTCTGAATTCAGGACATGCTTTGTGGTCCGTCAAAACACGAAGAGGAATGTTGTTATTTGTAGCATACCGATGCTGTTTTTCTTGAAATATTGCAAAACTCTACTCATTTCATGAACCATAGACCTTGGCTCGGAAAGGGTACTATGACTGATTGTGCTTGAATGTTGTTGCGGTACTTCCTGGGGAACAGGAGGAGCTGCCATTGGACCGAAAGCAACAGCCGCCACCGATCGATTGGCAAATGTGTCGTAACGGAATCCATCTTTTTCCTTTTGGATTGCTTGCCACATTGGTAAGTGTTGTCCTCGAAGGTGTTTGCCAGGATTGCCAGTGCCATCGAATCCACCTGATCCTGATTTCTTGTAGGTTGGCCGGAATAGACATTTGGAAAGTGACTTGCTGGTATCCTCGAGGCATGAACGACACGCCACATATTGCTTCCCCGAAAGAATTCCTTGATGGATCTTTTGGTAGGCCGAATCATCCAAAGGTTGAAGGTTTTCCAAGTGTTTGGCGTCGGGAATGTCGACACTGTAGTAACATTGCCAAACGCCAGAACGGCCGGGTGGCTTGCGACTGAGCGTGGGAATACTCTTGGCTTCCACGTACTGTGCAGTCAAATCAGTTCCCATTGCCGCGGCCATGGTATCATCGGCAGCTGCAGCTTCTTCGATATCATCTTCTTCTTCTTGTTCCGGTTCTTCCAATTCACCGGCTCCATTGACAGCTTCCTCAAGCTCTTCCTGTGACAAGATGTCATCATCCTCCACATCAGATACAGCCATGGTAACAACAGAAGAGACAACAGCACAGAAGAAAAGAGTGGCTAGAGTCAACAGTGGCTTCAAAGCTTCAATGAACAAGCTCAAAGCTTCAATGAACAAGCTCAAAGTGAGAAAATGGGAAATTTATGGGGCTGCGAGTTGGCGAAATACTCACTCGGTACTCACAAAATACTCACCGAGTACTCACTGGTACTCACTTCGAAGTACTCACCGAAGGACTCACCGAAGACTCAAAAAGTACTCAGAATCCGGAGTCATGTGAGTACGGGTATTGAGTATTACTCACATTTTCGAGGGTCAGGTGAGTATGGGTATTGAGTATACTCAGTACTCAATACCCGTACTCACATCGAGTACACGCAGCGTGTATTTCATGTGAGTCCCACACCCTGACTCACAGAGTCTCACAGCGAACGCTACTCAGAGTACACACGATTCCTCTTTCCAAGGATATAACACTCTCCAAAGATTGCTTTGTGTGTTCTTCTTCTGTGTTCTTATCATCTCGTGGCTTCTCTTTTAGCTTATGGACCCAGTCGTCTTGAGTATGGCTGAGCTTATGGCTTCATCTTTGCAAATAAATCAATTTAATTAAGCATTGTCAATTGGGGTTCGACCTGTCTTCGCGGTCATCATTAAATTTTTATTTTTGGAAAGGAGCACTGTAGGTGGTCAAATAATTTGACACTGTTATGCTTTTCTTGTATCTTCAATCTGTTCCATCATGTCTTGATGAAGCTTGCAGATGCCAGTCCAGGACGGATCCCAAGTCATGAACTAACTTTTACACTGGTATCCATCACACTTCACACCTCACATCCCAACCACAAAAGGACAATTCGACAGGAAAAAGACTGAGAAAAAGTTTGACAATGGCGGAAGAATCGACGGCCACTTTAGGCACTGAGCACAACGGTTTCTTGAAGACGCTACGTGCATTGGATGGGTATCGCAAAGTTGCCCCTCAAGATTTCGTTCGAGCCGAGGCAACGGAAAAGTCGCGGGAAGACAGGACCAACTCCAATGTGGATCTCTTTACGCTCCCCGATGGAAGCGACAAGGAGATTGCCGTCTGTCACATTTCCAGCATTATGCCTCTGAACTTTGCACCCTTTCGTCCCTGGAGGACCACGCATGAAGATGTGGCCGTGATTGCCATGGCGGTGGCGCATTTGAACTCTGGCGACGGATCGATTGTCCCGGAAGTGGAGGGACTCAATGACAGATGCAATGTCCGCTTCACGGCCGAAATGACAGACTCCATGTTCCAAGGAGGTCAAGTGGTGAACCAAGTGGTAGATCAAGTCAATCGAGAACCATCTTCTGAGAAACCCATTCCCTGTGCCTTTTTGGGTGCCTACAGCAGCGCCGTATCCGTCCCCATGTCCATTGTGACGGGCTTGTTTGGATACCCACAGGTATCGGGCTTTAGTACTAGCCCGGAGCTAGACGACTCCAGTCAGTATCCCATGTTTGCCAGGTCCATCCCAGGAGATGATGGCAATGCCGTTCCGGTCATTATCTATCTGACCACAGTCTTGAAGCTAGAGCATGTCGCCGTGGTCAATGTCAATGACGCATACGGGAATGCCTATGGTAAGTTTAGAAGAGTTTCGTCTCCATTTTTCATTTATTGGCACTCGTCTCATCCTAATCAATCCCCTGCTCGACCTGTACCGTATGTTCATCAAAACAGTGGAAGGCCTCCGAAAAGCTCGAGACGAATATGCCCCGGACTTGACTATTCAGCAAATCCCGCTGGATGGGGCCGAGGACAAAGAGGTGGCCGCAAAGGCAGCCGTTCAGAGTTTGAAAGTGCTCGAGTACCGATACATCTTTATGCTGGCTTACAGCACAGACATGTTTGATGCTGTCATTCTAGAGGCATACAACGAAGGCATGGCTGGGACAGGCAAGCATAACTGGATGTTTGCTGATTCCTTTAGTGGTTCCACTGCCAGGAGGACTTTTGAGCCAGGTTCTCCTCTTAGCCTTGCGTATCAAGGTACCGGCTACTTTCAAGTAACCGCAGGCATTCGTGGAAGGACGATCCAGTACGACAAGTTCCGATCCAAAGCAGCAGCACTCAACAACCCGGACGATATGGACTACGTTGCTTCGTTGCTCCCAGGGTTTGGACCAGAAAAACCTTTTGTTGACGATCCAACCTTTTTGAATCCAATTGCCGGTGCTTCTGGACCCTTCATGTACGATGCAACAATTGCTGTAGGACTCGCAGCATGCAAGGCGAGTGAATCCCACGGCCTCAACTTTACAGGGCGGCAACACTTTGACAGCCTCTTGGGTACTCAGTATTTGGGCGCAACAGGTCGTGTCGACTTTGATCCAGTGACCGGAACCCGAGATCCGTCCACGGCAACGTACAGGCTTGTGAATCTAATCCAGACCCCCAAGGTGGACCGTGAATCTGGCGTGGAAGCCATTGGTTTCAACGACAGTCTTTCAAGCGTTTTCCAGGATGGCAACTGGACCGAGATCCAACCTTATGTTTTCAATGACAATACCACGAATGTCCAGCCCGATCTGCCACCGCCCCCGGTCATTGCGGAAAGCGGCAACGATAATCTTGCTCTTGCCATTGCTATTCCCGTCACAGTTGCGTTGATTCTGGCCGTCATTGTGTTTCTGTTCTACGAAAACAAGCGTAAGAAGAGCGATGCCATGTTCGTAATCAAGGAAGACGAACTCAAGTTCTCTGATCCTCCCGAGATCATCGGACGAGGTACATTCGGCGTGGTACTTCTGGCTGAACTGAAGGGTACTGAAGTGGCTGTGAAGCGTGTGCTTCCACCACTAAAATCATCCAAGATTAGTTCTCAGTTCGGCAGTAAAGTCGGAAAGAGCTCAATGACGGAAAAATTCGAAATGAGCACTAATGAAATTTCCATGAGCAGAGAGTCTGGCATCAGCCACATGTCGGGGCAATCTTCTGCCAGTACCGGTACCGGCACTGCAGGAGACGCGGGATCATGGCACAAGATGAAAAAGGATTTCCTGAAAGAGATACAGCTGCTGGCGAAACTTAGGCATCCCTGTATCACGCTGACATTGGGTAAGTTTGTCTCGCAGTTGCCTCTCGGCACACTTTGGCTTTAAAAATGCAGGAGGCCCGCACTGACCAAAACCTGTTGCCATTTCATTTCAAAGGAGCGGTCACTGCAGGGGAACCCATGCTTATCATGGAGGTGAGTGTTGCGTTGACTACACTGGTGATTATCCCGGCATCGGGTTGCTCACCGTTTCTCTTGGCAACATAGTACATGGACCATGGGTCCCTGTATGATATTCTCCACAATGAAACAATGGCCCTCGACGGTGACATGGTTTTGGACCTGCTGAGCGATATCACTCGAGGTGTGCGATTCCTTCATGCTTCAGACCCGCCATTGATACACGGAGATTTGAAGTCAAGCAACTGCCTAGTAGACAGCCGCATGCGGGCTAAGATCTGTGACTTTGGACTGAGTCAGAAGAAGCAACTTGGTGGAACTGGCACTCCAGCATGGATGGCCCCAGAAGTGAGTGGGAGTGAGAGGGCCTGGTTTAGATCGTTTCGGATGCAATGATTTCGAGTCCTCACTTTTGCTTCTGCGTCGTGCATTACTCATGATCCAATGAGAATAGTTGCTGCGTTTTGAAAGTGGCAACACTAAGGAAACTGATGTTTACAGCTTCGGAGTGTTGCTTTACGAAGTGATTAGCCGCCGAGACCCGTACGAGGGCGAAAAAGACATGAAAAAAGTCCTTCGTTTGGTAGCGGACAAAACTGTGCAGAAACGCCCTGAACCTCCTCGTCACATGCCTGAACCGATGAAGGCAGTCATGCGAGACTGTTTAGAAGACGGCCCTCACATGCGCCCATCGTTTGATGAGATTGACAACCGACTAAAACGCATGGACGTGGAAACACTGGGGTCTGTGACGTCCAAACACTCCAACAAGAAGGGTTCGAATTCGGTGTCTATTTTCGATATCTTTCCCCGCCACATTGCCGAGGCTCTCAGGGACGGGCGTACGGTCGAACCAGAGCACAAGGATTCGGTCACGTAAGTGTCACGCTAAGTCTTCACTCGTCACAACCACATCCTGTTTGAGCGCTCCACTAACGATCCCTCTACGAACGCTTTCTACAGCATCTTCTTCAGCGACATCGTGGGTTTCACGACTATTTCAACCGAGTTGGAGCCCAGGAAAGTCGCTGATATGCTCGACCGCCTCTATACGAAGTTCGACGCCCTCTCTGCCAAATGGGATGTTTTCAAGGTAAGGATATCACAGTTTGCCTTTTCTTTTCGCTAATCCATGTGGCTTACATCTCCTTACATAACACGTCGCTTCATTCGTCACTTGCCCAGGTTGAGACGATCGGGGATGGTGAGGAAATGGAACCAGTGGATTCCTTGGATTTGGTCTTGCATTGTGGCATATCTCACTCCAGCTGCGTCTCCTTCTACTATCAGCCTATATGGCCGTTACAAACCTTATCAAGGATCAACCCGATTGCCACGCCAATCGCATAGCCGAGTTCTCGAAAGAGGCCATAGTTGCTGCCAATGAAACGTACATCGATGAAGAGGCACCTGATAAAGGTTTCATCGAGATTCGTGTCGGTACGCTCTCGATAGATGGCAGCGACGCGTTGCTTGGAGCTCCACCTTGTTCTAATCATTGCTTTGCTTCTTATGCACTTTTTTCCAAAGGATTTCATTCTGGACCTGTTGTGGCCGACGTTGTAGGCACCCGCAATCCTCGCTACTGTCTTTTTGGCGACTCCGTCAATTGCGCTAGCAGAATGGAGAGCAATTCGAAGAAGAATCGCATCCATTGTTCTGATGCTTCAGCAAAACTTCTGAAGAAACAACACCCAACTTTGCCTCTCAAATCCAGAGGTTCGGTCCATATTAAAGGAAAAGGAGACATGCACACATATTGGGTAAACGAAGCAGCCGGGACCGACACTGGCGGAAACATGGCATCGAAAAAGGATGCGCTCCCTCTAGTCCTCGATTCCTCGACTCATTCAGCCACTCTAAGCAGCGTGTCAACTCACGAAGTTGCTGGTGCAGTACCTCCCGAGTCCTCGCCAGAACTAGGGGAGAATCAAGCTCTGGATCTTGAAGTTGGTGAACAACCAATGCGACAAACCGCGGGAAAAGCAGCCATTGAGATTGAGGTTTAGTTTGAACAAAAAGAGGGTCATTCCAGCCAACTTCCAAGAACCTTCATCGTCTGGCTCTTTTGCTTTATATATATATATATATGTATATTTCACTTCCTTCTTGCTGCTTGTTTGAAAGGGTCAACCTTGCTTTGTTGGCTGTACGACAGCCCAGAGGAGAATGTGTAACTTAGACTACCTGTCGCTAGCAACTACGATATCAGCGGCTGCAGGGTGGTTTGGCTGTCTTCGACCTGGCCAGTTGCTGAAACGATTCGATTCCAGGTTGTCAGTCGAGTCGATTGGCTTTCGTAGCGGTAAGCTCTGGACCTCTGTGGAAATGTCATTCGTGGAAAAATACTTAAGAGACGATACACCGAGGCAAAGGAGTCGATTTAAAGGATTTCGGAGCCGAAAGCAATCGTCTCCTATATTTAGGAGACGATTCAGTAGGAGACATTCCAATTAGGAGACGATCGTTTCAAAATAGGAGACGATCCGAAAGATTTAGGAGACAATACCATACAGTTTACATGGTACACTTAAGAGACGATCCGTTGAGAATAGGAGACGATCCGTTGAAAATAGGAGACGATTCAAGAGGAGACGAAAGATTGAAGAGACGATCCGTTTCGTCTCCTATTTTTAGGAGACGAAATCCATTAAATAGGAGACGATCAAAAGGATTTAAGAGACGATCGGTAGCACGACTCGAGTTTCCACAGAGGTCCTGATGGGACAAAGTCGGCTGTCAGTACCAGGAGGGGCTCCGCTGATGTCACGCTGATTCGGAACTTTCTTGTTGAACCTTTCGGCGAGACTCGCACGACTCGTGTTCGTTTGACTCGCGTGCGAGTCTGTGCGAGTCTAATTGCGAGTCTGTGCGAGTCTATGCGAGTGCTTGCGAGTCTCTTGCTTTGGATTACAGTTAAAGTCGCGTTTTTGTGCGAGTCTGTGCGAGTCTACGCGAGTTAAATGCAAGCTGACGCGAGTAGTACGAGTCAAGTTGCGAGTCTTGGGCTGTAATTTCCATAGGAACGAATGAAGCCTCGCCAATAGTGACGTCAGCGGAGCCCCTCCAGGTACAGTACGACTGTACTAGTACTAGCTAGCTAGCCTACCGGTACCGGTACCAGTAATACTAGTACTCTACTAGCTAGAGTAGTCGAGCATGAGGAGTCGAGTCGAGTCGGGTCGAGTCGTGTCAGTCGCGCAGAATCGAGTGACGAGTCGAGTCGAGTCGAGTCAGTCGAGTCAATATGCTTTCGGGACTCCCCGGCGTGCGGGAATGTTTTCATCCAAAATTTCAAAACCTCCACGCCTCTGCTCATCAATTTCAGGACGGAGTTGCTCAAAGCAACTGAAGGAAGAAGAAATTTCGGAGGAACGAAGTGGAGTGGAGTGACTACAGCTGGCTACGCAGCAGGCAGCAGCTCGTACGCTCGTACTCTCAGGAGTGACCTTGCCTGTCGGCAGGAGTTGAATCGGGATCTAATATCTAATCGGAAAGAAGCACCATGCATACCGGTAGCAGCCCGCCGAGCCTTAAAAACGTGGTGTCACTGTACGTGTACTTCATGCGAAGTAGCTTGCGAAGTTGAAAGTTGATGAATGAAAGAGCTTAATTCAATCGCTCCTTATCATCACGTCCAGGAAAAGGAACTTTCACCACCTGTTCCGAATCTTCCGATATGTGCCAATCGTTCGTGGACATCTCTAAAGGGAAAAACAAACAGTCGCTTCACTTACTCTTGGCTCTTGGAGTCGAACCCCAGAATGCTGAATAAAGTTGCTTGCGGGATCGGCGCTGCTCACCAGCAGGCTGCGGCCAGTATTAGCAATAACTAACGTTACGTTACGTTGCTGAATAATGGAGAATCGAATCAGATGGTTGAGTTTCACTTTTTGGCGGTGATGATAAGCAGACAATGAACGGTAAGAGAACCATCAACCAACATCGCGCATTGGTTCCCTCCAAGCTGCCGTGCTGCAAGAAATGCATATATCATACTGGCTCGTGGAGCAAGTCGCTGTGCAATAATGCGGTAACAGGCTCCTCCAGCGGAAGCTCAAGGAGACTGGTGGTAAAGCTTTTTCCATTTTCCACACTACTTACCTTAGGCTGTGTCTCCGCGCCTATGCGACTCTCAGTTGGCTGAAAGCTCCAAAGCTCCATTGGCTAGCTGATAGAGAACATCCTGGAAAAGTTTCAAAGAACGCAACCGCTGACTAAGCCAGTTGCTGATAACGATACCGCTTGCCAATTGCAGCTTACTTTTGGATCTCCTATCGGACGCCCTGGAGTTGGGAAACGGTCTCTATGGCATTTCTTTACTATGCCGATCCCGCCTCTTCGAGTTGGGATGACTTGCCGCGACCAACTGAAATAAGATATAGGATTGCTTGCACCGGTAACACATTGCTGATATTAATTTTCAGATCTCCGATGCTCCGACGGCCTCCTAATCTTTCAAATCTTCCAGGAGCATTTGATTTTTAGGTTGTAAAAACGGGCCTTTGTGCCTCGTGGTTTTGTGGGATGAAGGCGATAGAGCAATTGATATTGAAGCCAAATCGCTGGTACATTAGGTTGAATACACTTAGTGATCCCGTCTTTGAATCGATAATAGACAAAGCCCCACTGAAGACTCAGCTTCTCTGAAAGTTGGCCACGCTCACCTGGCTCTTAAGTCATTGTGTTGTCATGAAGCTTCTAAAATTTATTTTGTCATGAACTGGCGATGCAGGCGACGTTCCTTTTGGAAAGTTGGTTGTCGGCGGGTTTGGCATCCTGTCTCTTCTTACGAATCTTCAAGCTGGGACGAACTCGGAGCTTGGAGCAAAAGTGTCATGTTCTAGCTCATGTTCTGTGAATGGCCGCAGGCTCTTCAATTAGAGACTGCCTCAGAAACAGCGGCAATAATGCAGTCGGCTTCCGCCAAGAAGCAAAGGATCCACACATCACACAGTAGCACATAGCTATGAAGTATGAAGGCTTGCTGTGACAAATTATAGCTCCCACTTCCCACTTGCATTCAGTTGAGCCTTCACTCGTTTATAGCAATTTGAAGCTTCGCAGCAACCATTCGCAACCTTCTCATTGCACCATTTGTAGAGCTCACAATTCGAACAGCTGAAAAACATAAACAAGATCAGCAGCTCACAATATTTTACTCTCGCCTATTATAACCAACAACCCAACCATGCCTTACGGAGCCGCAGCATCCCGTCGTCGTCGCTCTAGCTTGTCGAGCTCCACCCATTCCAGGCGCTCGAGCATGAATAGCAGCACAAAGTCCAGCAGTATTCGTCTGAGCCGCCATGAGCAATTGTTTGATGACTCTTTGAGACAGCCGTCTATGCGCATGTCCATGCTCATGACAGCCGCCATGAACGATATGAGCAGTTCCAGCAACCATGGTGGAGAGAACAACGATCACAGCTACAGTTCCATCATTTCTGCATCAGAGACCACCATCAAGCCAACGCCAGCTGTAGCGGGCCATTTTGTAGGGCCCAATGGAGAGCTTGTGGCTGATCCTCCCAGGAGAGGACGACGGGTTCCAAGGATCTTGGGAATGAGACCCAAGTACGACGGAGACGGTCTCTTCCGCATCAAATGAGCAATGCAAGCTACCTGTACTTATCAGATCTTTGCTTAGTACCTACACTACCGTACTACCGGTATATTGTTCCAATCTTACTCTGTGACCTGTGTGGTCAATCATTCCTTACTCAAGACTTACTTCTTATCAGAAGGAACCAAGATGCGTCAAGCTGGTTTGCAATGAATGCAAGCAACTGTCAGATGCACCAACAGCATAATGGCTGACCAAGGGAGGGCCAAGTCCACTCCTTGCCTTCATCACCAAGTCAAGTCAGCTCGCAGAGCAGAGGATCAGCACAAGGCTGGCCTTCTTTCCCACTAAAAAATGTATTGTAAAAAGCTAGCTACCTACCTACCTAAGCCACACACACAACTTTAGAAATACCTTACAGTTCATTGTCTTAACACCTCTATCTTCGCTAGCAAGCTGCCTCGACACACCTCCACACCAAACTAGCTAGCTACCGGTACTTGTAGCTGGGCCTTGGTCAATGCAAAGAGCCATGCAGAACACAGATCCTGTCGGGCTTGGAGCCCGGTCGTCGATGCAGCTATCGGATCCTACATCATGATTGTGGCGGCCCGTTGTCAAAGCAGATACAGTCTCCTTTCCGAAAAAAATTCAGACACAAAAAAGCACAGCCTCGCAAGGTAAAATACAAAGATTTAATGCCACATGCAGGGGCTTCACATCTTCCTCTAGTTTTTGGCGAAGCCATTTTGTACCGTCAATACCGTTTTTTACTACAAGGGAGCCTTAAGTGTAGAAAAGATTCTGCTTTGTTTGGTGGAATACACCTTGTACACTTTGTGTGAAGCTTCTAATTCTTATTTGAAGCTTGATTTAGCTCACTTTTCTTCTTTGACATGTCACAAAAGGGTGAAAAGTTGCTTTGGAACTAAGCAGGACATCTTGGTCACTTCACTTCGCCACTTACATCACCGAACCACTTCACGCTTTTTCTGAGTATCCCGAGTTCTAAACAGCTGTAGTTATCTCTAGCTCCATTGAACCAGAGGCGAGACTACACATTGGTTCAATTCCTCTCCTAAGGCCGGTCTCTACCGGAGCCACTAAAGTAGCGACTAAGCCATATTTTGTAGTTTAGTCCATAGTTTAGTCTCTTGGGGTGGTGTCTACCCAAGCGACTAAACGTCATAATGTTGGTTCACTGACTAAAGGGAGGCTGGTTAGTCGGTGAGTGAATGTACCGACTAAAGCCTCTTTAAGAACAGCAAATCCAACAGGAAAGACTGCATGCCACCGAGTTGGATAACAAATTCCAACAGGATTACCACAGAGGTGCCTCCGTGGGAGTTCCTAGCCTCACTATTAGGCCATCGAATCAGTGCCAATAGAGGAGAGTTGCAAAGGATCGAATGAATGATAGTAGAGGTGCAAACGATCGAACGATCGAATGACACAGGTATTAATAGTAGAGGTGCAAACAATCGAATGAATGATAGTAGAGGTGCAAACGATGGAACGATTGAATGATACTATTAATACTATTAATAGTAGAGGTGCAAACTATCGAATGAATGATAGTAGAGGTGCAAACAGAGGAGAGGTGCAAACGATCGAACGATCCAATGACAGAGGAGAGGTGCATCGCAACGGTGTGTTTTGAGTCTTGTTATCTCAAAAAGTAATCACTTCTGTTAAGTCTTTGTTTGAGTCCTTTAAATCCACCATGCTGATAGAATATTGGTAGCCCACCAAGTGATCACTTTTGTTAAAGCTTTTTTGAGTCCTTTAAGTCCACTAGTGTTCCGTTTAGTCATTTGTTCCGTTTAGTCATTTGGGTAGACAGCACTAAATGACTAAAGAACTGACTAAATTGTTTAGTCCGAGATTTAGTTATCTGCTGGTAGACACCACCATTACTAAAGGATAATGACTAAATCTTGAACTAAACAACCACCTAAAGGATTCCTTTAGTCGATCCCTTAGTCGCTCAGGTAGAGACCGGCCTAAGGCCGGTCTCTACCCGAGCGACTAAAGTAGCGACTAAGCCATATTTCATAGTTTAGTCGATAGTTTAGTCTCTGGGGGTGGTGTCTACCCAAGCGACTAAACGTCGTATGGACTAAAGGCTTTAGTCAAAACGTTCGTTCACGACTAACGGGAGGCTGGTTAGTCCGTGAGCGAGCGTAAGGACTAAAGCTTGTTTAAGAACTCTTTAAGAATCAATCTTCAATCAGCCTCATTGCACAGCCTCAACAACAGAGGCAGCTACTTGCCCAACAAGCCAAGTTGTAACTCAACCTTTAGTCACTGCGTTTAGTCACTGTAGCCACTATACTCTTCTATTTGCACCTCTGTGGTGGGAACCTCTGTGGTAGGCCGTTGTTATTATGTCGTCCTCATCGGATTTCGACTCTTCCAGGGAGGCCTTGGATATCGTCATGGGAATGACCGATACCGCTGTAATGTTGGCCACGGATGATTATGATGGCACACCACAGCCCATGGTTGACCACCGTCTTTTGCCAAGGAAACCTCGGAAGCAATACAACCATGCCAGAGCTTTCCGGTGTATTCTAGACGACTATTTTGGACCAGTCCCTACATTTGATTTCAAGGAATTTGAGGATATCTACCGCATCAGCCGTCCTCGTTACCAGAGATTGAGAGAAGATGTCATGAATTTGGGTCATGACTTCTACATTGGGTCCACTGACGCTTTCGACCGGCAGGTATCATGTTTGGACGCACGTCTATTGATGCCGTTGAAATGTTTGGCATACGGTGTTCCCGCTCAACCATTCCGTGACTATTTCCAAATGTCGCAGACCTTCGCAAGGGATTGCCGCAGTAACTTTGATGACATCCTCGCTCATTTGTATCAAGACGAGTACCTTGCTTTGCCGACTGCCACTGATTTACGAAATATTTCCAATCTTCACTTGGCGGCCCACGGTGTTCCTGGAATGCTTGGAAGTCTTGACTGTATGCACAATCGCTGGAAGCAGTGCCCAATTGAATGGCAAGGAGCTTTCCAAGGAGCGAAAAAGGTCCCTACCCTGGTTCTGGAGGCAATGTGCGATTACAATTTATTCTTCTGGCATGCTTCGTTCGGCTATGCCGGAATACTCAATGACATAACAATTTTTGACATGTCGCCTCTGCTGGAAAACATGCTCAGCGGGAAGCTTACCGATCTCGAGACTATTGGTGGTGTCGTCCCTTTCGACATTGGCGATGAAGAATTTCCACAGATGTTTATTTTGGTCGACGGTATATACCCACAATACTCCCGTTTTGTCAAGACTTTATCCGAGCCAATTTTGGATTGGGAGAAACAATATTCCGCTTGGCAGGAGGCGGCTAGGAAGGACATCGAACGGGCATACGGTGTGATTCAGGCCAAATTCCAATATATGGCTCGTCCATTCCTGGATTTGGAATTGCGCAAAATTGGAAACCGTGTCAACACCTGCCTCATTCTCCACAACATGTGTGTTGTGGATCGGGTGATGGGAGATGTGAGGGCCAAGTACGATCCAAGTGTCACTACAGTTGATCAAGAAATTGTCATTGATGTGCCGCCTGACAGGCAAACTGTCCAAAAACTAGTAGAGGAGCCACCCGAGATTGGTTGAGAGGAACAACCAAGGAGTGTTCGAGATACTATGATTCATAGGCAACAGTGGCATTCGCTGATGGATATCACAGAGCATGAGCGTCTACATGTGGCTCTTGTAGAATTTAAAACTGGACACAAACTATAGTTATTGAATTAAACCTCGGTATAGTTTTTTGGGTGGCTCCATGTTCCACTATTGTCATCCTGTCGATATACGGTGGCGGCATTAGGACGAGTCGGAATTGTCATCGGCCACTCCTTTTTCACTTACTTCTCCATTGGCGGCAGTAGCAGCCGCGGCAGTGGCAGCCGTGGGATCTGTCATGGAGGAATCAGGACTGTCAGGGCTCTTGCCCTCTTTAACTACAGTTGGCGGAGTAGGCTTTGGCGCTGGTTTTTTGGTTGCCTGTTGCTGTTCTCGCTCATCCCGCAATTGATTCTGCCATTCCTCGAATGCTTTTTCGTCAGCTGTTGTTTCTTGCAACAAATTTTCGGCCTCCGTCATCTTGCCAAACTTCATCAAAAGCTCCACCCGTTTCATTTTGGACTTCATGTTTCCACGGTGGACTACTCCCTCGGAGAGCATCTGCTGGGAAAAGGCAATGGACTCCAAATGTTGATTGCGTTCCTGGTTGCTCGAAGCCACCGAGTTGGAAAGAGCCAGGTTGAATTTTGTCATATTTTTGCCAGTGGGTCGGGTATGCAAAAAATAACGAGATTTTATTTTAAAGGCTACACCTCGTCAGACGATCCGCTGAACGGTGCCGTGACGAACCCATATACCTCAGGCGCACAAGTGCGCCCACTTAGGATGGGCCTAGTGTAAGCCCCCCACCGGAGAAATTTAACAAAACTCCGGAGGGTGCTGTACGACTAACTAGCTACCCTTGGCTGGATTGCCATCTATTTCTACGGTAAGACCCCCTCTGTGCATAGTTACCCTGTGTCATTGTTCTGCACTGTGCGTGCATGCTCGTCCCTGAGTGCCTTGTCGACGACGGGCAGCCAATTGGCAAGCCACGCTTTGATGTCGCCTGGGCCCTTTGCCATTTGCTCGTCAAGCGGTCGCTTGAAGATAAAATCCACCAGCTCCGCTGGGATCAGATCCGCTTTCTCGTAAATGAGTTCCACCTCCCGCTGAAGCTGTTCGTGCTTCTTCTTCCACTGGTCTTCCCTGTCTTTGCCATGCCTGGCAGCATTTCGATCCTCCCACAGGTTCCACCACTGCTTGATGAGCAGTGAGTCTAGGTTGGTGACCCAGAGCTGCCCTGTCTTGGTGATCTCCTGGGAGCCGACCCGATGCAGATATGCATCTTGATGCTTAGCCCAGTGCGTGGACAAACGTCCTCTCAGGAAGTTGTCCCAACCAATGAGATTTTGAGTGTCAACG